CTAGAAGGACTAAAGCTAGGCCTCTGGACTCTACTTGGACTCCTACCTTACAGGTCTACAGTTCGAATCTCCCTACAGCCTACAACCTATGGCGACCTACTTACCACTGGCTATCGTGCAGGTCACGGGTTCAACTCCAGGGAACTGTGCAGATACTGTACACAGGTAAGCTGAGGTCAAGGGATCGACCCCTGGGATCTGCATCGGCTACTGCCAAAGGTGAAAACTGTTTCATGCTTGTTGAATCCCGGCAATAGATTACAACACCTTTCCTTCTGCTGCTCTTCTCTTCTTCGGCCCTTGACCAGGGAATCATGTTGGTATCAACAGAGCCCTTGCCAAACGCTCCCAACTGATAATCCAACAAGTCATACAGATGATGACCAACTCCGTCCTCCTCCTCCTCCTCCTCTTCCTCCTCCTCCTATTGCTGCTGCTGCTGCTGCTGCTGTTGCTCATACGGTTATGGCCATGTTGTTGTTATAGCAAGTAGAGATTCTACAGGAACATAAGCAAAATAGCGAACAACCATAGATATCCTTAGACATGCAACTCCGTCAAACTGTGACCAACTCGACAATCCATGCTCACATCATGTGAGGCTTATGGTGTAGAGCGGTGTGCCATACTTCTCCGACGTCATACGCATAATCGACAGGGAACTTAAACACAGTAAGCCCGCAAGTCAAGGAAAGGAAAACACCATGCTTGTGCAGTCTATCCAAAACCTACAGCAGAATCACATAAACAGAGAAGAACCAGGATAGGAAGGACAAGGAGGAGGAGGAGGAGGAGGAGACTGAGAATAAGAGGACAAGGATGATGATGGTGACGACAATCATGATGATATGACGATCCAGAGGAGGAACAAATAAGACGACGAAGAAGACAAAGAAAAAGACGAGGAAGAAGACAAGGAACAAGACAAGGAACAAGATCACGAAGAAGACGGGAAGAAGAGGACGATTAGGACGAAGAGGAAGAGGAAGAGCCAGAGCATGAGTAGGTGCATAAGGAGCACGGGGAGGCGAGGAGGGGGGTGAAGAAGACAAGGAACAAGATCAGGAAGAAGACGGAACGAAAAGAAACACGAGGACGAAGGGGGAGAGGAGGAGCCAGAGCATGAGTAGGTGCATAACGAGGAGCATGGGGAAGCGAGGAGAGGGATGAAGAAAAGCAGGAGGAGGAGCAGGAGAAGGAGGAGGAGGAGGTGGAGGAGGAGGAGCTAGAAGAGCCAGAGCCGGAGCAGGAGGAAGAGGAGGAAGAGGAGGAAGAGAAGGAAGAGAAGCAAGAGAGCCCGGACTTTCTAAAGGCAAGGAGTCAACAACATTGACGATGTACATACTTAAAAAAGAGTTCAGATGTGCCCCCCCTTATTCATTGATTCCGAGGCGTAAGCCCTTTCCTGGGTTGGCTGACCCAAGCAGTGCCAGCTGTGGCAAACCTCCAGGGGGCCATTACATGCTCCGGCGTCGCATAATTGATTCCGACACGTGGACCTGTCAAAATACCTGGAGGGGGGGGAGCATCCCAGAGCTCCAATCCTCCCGGCTCGTAGAGAGGATGGAAGGACCATTCCACGGTCAATCCAAGTGCTGCTCCGATTTTCCCTGGTCCTGCTAGCAAGACCGCTTTGTCCGAGCTCATTCCGCGCCGAGATTGGATGGTTGTCAACCCTTCAACAGGCTCGCAGGAACGAATGAGGACAGCAGAACCAACACCAACAGCATCTGCAACTACATTCAACATGTTGTGAACTCCATAGCAAAGAAAGACGTACGCGTGTCCTGCCTTTCCAAAAAGAGGAGCAGTTCGCTGTGTGCATCCAAACCTGCCGTGGCATGCAGTGTCTCCTGGCCTGTAGGCCTCCACCTCTGTGATGCGTAGAACAACTTCATCTCTTCTAAGGAGCTTACCAAGAAGTTTCGGAGCCAATTCCAGTGAATCTACCTCATAGAACTCTGGAGGAAGAATCGAGCTGCTACTCAGGCAATTCAGCACCAGTCCAGAATATACAGATGACGATGGTGTTATCCTTATTGTTGACGGCGTGGCAGATGACTCAGCCATGCTACTACTGCGCTCATTTGAAGGACAATGCCACTGCTTGTTCACATTCCGCTTGGGGGCTTTCAAGCCAATGGCTTTCTTTCCAAAGTCACAGTCATAGTCGGACTCTGACTTTGACTTTGACTTCACGTTTTTTGATTGCGACAATGCCGTACCTTCTTTTAACTCTGGCTCTGCCGTTTGCTTAAATTTTGACCTTGACTTCGCTGACAACTCAGTCGCTCTTTGCAAGTTTGACTTTGACTGTGAACTTGACTTTGCTGACACCCCAGTCACTCTTTGCAAGCTTGACTTTGACTTCGCTGATCTTACCTCTTTTCTTATGTCTGATAACTCTGACTTCAACTCATTCTGTGAGACGGCCACCGGTGCTGCAGCTGCTCCCACCACCTCCTCTGGCATTGCACCATGATTTTCTCTGACAGTCAACCGGGCACTCTCTCCGGATCTTACACCCACCTCTCTCCCACATAATCCTCGGCAACTTCGCAGAGCCTTTCTGTCTGTCGCTGGATTCAACCCGGCCACCATGGACGCCGCATTCCCCTTTCCAGCCGCACTTCCTGGCCCGTTCTTGGGTCGGTTGTTCCTAGTTTGACCCGATTGGTTCCCAGTTTGACCCGATTCGTTCCCAGTTTGACCTGATTCCTTCCCAGTTTGACCCAATTCCTTCCCGGTTTGACCCGATTCATTCCCAGTTTGACCGGGTTGGTTCTCCGCCAATTCCGAAGTCAGATGACAGAGCTGCAGTGGCTCTCTTCCTCCACCATGGGGCGCTGATAGCCGGGTGGCAGGCACAGACATGCCTCGTCTTGGCCTCTTGCTTCTTTCCAATCCATTGTCGTTGACGTCAACATCGAATCGAGCTTGCCCATCATCGTCGCCATCACGAGCACCACCACCGCTGGTGCTAGAGTCGGCCTGCTTCCACGTTCTCCTGCTCTCCACATCTCCGGTGGTCCGATCTGTCGCCTCCGTCTTGGGCCCCCAAGAGCCGACGTCAGTACGACAGGCCTTCTCGTCTCCTTGACTTCTAGAGCAATCCAGCCTTGCACTTCTCCTGGGGAAGATCGCGGGTGCCTTCACCTCTTGTCCTCGACCAGGGGAGTTCACCACTCGTTCAGACCCCGACTTGACCTCCATCGCAACCGAGTCAAGCACCATATGACCGCCACGCCCCGGTTCCCTTTTCCCGCCAACGGCGATTTTAGGAATGAGCGCATGACTGGCGAATGGATTTGATGTCACTGACATTCCACTTCCCCCTTCTCCTCTAATTTGTCCTCCTCCTCTTGTAATTTCCCCTCCTCATCCACCACCTCCACCTCCTCCTCCTCCTCCCTCCTTCCTCTTGCTGTCGCTTCTGCCAGTCCGTCTGTATGTCTGTCTGTCTATCTGCCTGCCTGCCTGCCTGTCTGTTTGCCTGTTTGCCTGCCTACCCCCTATTAGGGTACTGCGAAAGCCATCCCGCGGGCTACCAATACGCACAGTAGTTGCATAGCCGCAGACGACGGATCGTTTCCATGAACTCGATCTTTAATACAAAATAAGTTCCTCCTTTATTATTCTTCCTCTCCCTCCCACCACCACCTTCGCCTCCCTTCTCCCTCATTGTCCTCGTGGTGTCATTACTCTGTGCTTGGCATGCAGGAAGAAAGAAGAAGCCCCTCAAACACGCGAGCGTTGTCGGCGGTGAATCCTCGTGTAGTGTAGATTTGCACTTTGCGATCACATACTTGCGGGCAGATCGATTGTGAAAAGCAGCCTTGAGAAACACAGGACAGTCAGACGTTGCATCAGGCTTTACTGAAAAGGGGGAGGTTTGAGGGGTTACTCTTCACCTTTCTTTTTTTCATTATCATCTTCCTCAACGGCCATTCGATACCTGCAACATCACCAACACTACAAGCCCCTACCGTCTCGTACGGTTCAACAACATTTACCCTTCGTCTGCTGCCGCATATGTATTGTCACGAAGGACAACGCAGCAGCGAACCGTAGGCAAAAAGGGAGAAAACAACAACAAACGACGGGCTGTAACAGAGTGTTTCGTCGAAGTTTCACCAACTCACTCCTCAGTCAGGAGGCTGAACCCCCTGGAAACTATAGCAGAGTCACTTAACCCAAAACCAAAGCAGATTATCACCTTTGGGTTAAGGTGGGTGAGACTGAACCCCCTGGAAACTACAGCAGAGTCACTTAACCCAAAACCAGGGCAGACTATCACCTTTGGGTTAAGGTGGGTGATACTGCTGGTGACTATCATCCACCTTAACCAAAACCAAAGCACGCTACCACCTACCCACCAGACGGAAGACTCTCTACTCCTGTGCATGTCGTAATATAGTGATTAGTTCCAAGTTCCGGACAAGTTTTTGTTCTACTTAAATCTGTTTAAAAATACTGTAGTATGCGGATTGCGATCGGGATCGAGATGGAGCTACGAGAATATTGGCGGGATGCAAAGGAGGAGGGAGGTAAGCGGGTCGAGAAGAAGAGAGGGAGGGAGGGAGAGGAGGGTCGAGCCAGAGTGCGGAGGTGGCGAGAGGAACGGAGGCCAACGAAGTAAGCCCCGACGCTGAGCTGGGCGAAGCAAGTCCCGAAGCTGAAATACAGATCCTGTGTTGTATTCGAATCCAAATGGAACGAAGATGAATATCCCAAGGCCATCGCCCCTTATATTAGTAAGAAAAGAGAAAAGAAAGGAAGGGAAAAAAGAAAAGTCTGGATCGGGGGGACGAAGGTGGGCTACATCGCGGTTGGGGAGGGTGGTTTAACGGTCTCTTTCCCTCCACGTGGCGTACTCGTGGAAATTTAAGGGTTTTTATATTTTTAGTTAGTTTGTTTGGGCCTCCATCTGTGCAGTCCCGAAAGGGAGGGGATTTGGTTAGGATCGGTCGGCAAAGAGAGAGGGAAGATATCTGAGGGAAAGGAGGAGGGTTGCGAAGAGGATCGCGATCGAGATCGCCGAACTTGGCCGAAGGAGAATGTGGGGATCGGGACAGGGAGTGGTGGAGAGAGGAGAGATGTCAGGATTAGCAGGGAGGAGGAGAATAAAATCGTGCACAACTACCGACTTCCCTCGAACACAACGCAAACTGACCATGAATGTACACGAGCTACTTTTCCGGCCGAATCAGTCATTTTGAGGGTGCGTTATGCTCGGGGGAAGACGGTATGGAGGATGGGGAAGATGGTGGGGATAGGGATCAGGCAAGACGGACGCGGGCGATTTTTTCTTTCAGTTCTATAGTATAGTTAGACAAATTATGTGCGCAAAGGGGGAGAGAACGAGTGGACGAGGGGAAGGAGGAGGAGAAAAAGGAGGAGGAGGAGAAGGGTGGAGAGAGACAGAGACGGATAGAACGAAGGTTCATGGCGAACGAGAACATTGGCCATACACCGTGTGTGTGAGACAGCAAGAAGAGACGGGGGAGAGAGTGGGAGGGATGGAGGGTATCCCCGGGGAGGGGTGGGAGAGAGAGAGAGAGAGAGAGAGAGAGAGAGAGAGAGAGAGAGAGAGAGCATATCTCAAGGGAGAGAAGGGGTACGCCGCATTTTTGGACGAAAGAAACAGAAAACGTCCCGTGGAGGGAGGGCACTTATATCGTCTTTTATAATTTTATTCCTTTATTTTTTTTGTGTGTGTCTATGCGTCTAGGTTACCAGCGGCGACCCGCCGACCGGCCGGCCGATGTACCCCGCGGGCATGCAGAAACTCCCGCCTTTTTTACACACACACACACACACACACACACAGGTGATGCTTCAGAGTCTGCCAGCTGGGGAAGGCTGACGCGATCCCGTTTGTTCGCGTCTTTCCCCCTCTTTTTTCTTCTTGTTTGGTAATTGCCCCCTCTTTCTCTCTTTCCTTCATTCTCAGGAAAATTTCGAACTTGTGTGAAGTTCCAATTTTCCCTTTCTAATCAGTTGTCCAAGATCGAGGTCGCACTTTGCGGTTCCGTTTTCCGTTGCGTTTTCTCGTTCCGTTTCCGTTTTCCTTTCCGTTTCCGTTCCATTTTTGGTTCCGTTTCCGTTCCGTTTTCATTTCGTTTTCCTTGTCAGACCGCAGTTAACAATGATCAACGGCTGGAAATGGACGATCCAGTTAAGCCCAACCTTGCCCCAGGTTGATGCATAGGTGCATGGGCAGACGGTCTGCTCAGGGCCGATGTCGCAGTCCAAACGGATTACCTTCTTTTTTTCTTTTTTTTTCCAACGCATTCATCATCTCTGACCGTCGATCGTCCTAATCGACGGTCAGGATGAAGAATTTGGTCCAGTGGGATTTCGCCCCAAGAAAAGTCAATGTATACTCTCGGCACGCTGAACCGGTCGAGCGACATCACTTTCCGCAGCAAGCGTGAGCGCATTCTGCAACGAAGATGCGAGCTATCCTTACCCTCCCTCCTTACCCTCCCCCTGATCTTCCGGACCTCCCTTCTCCTCCCTCCTTCCCCCTCCCTCGCCAACCCATCCTAATCATGTTTATCCCCATGCACCTCCTATCGTAAGCTCCAATACCGCTCTCCTCCGATCAACCGGGATCGCGATGTAAATTCGGTCTTGCGAGCGTAGATGTGGGCATCCTGCGTGTCCGTGTCGGGATCGCATTCATTAGTACAAGTTGAGGCGTACAGTCTTTGGCCTGTCGTTACCGTTGCACAAGGGATTAGAAATGCATTATGGGCGGCCACGTGTACATCGGACAAGATCTCTCTCTCTCTCTCTCTCTCTCTCTCTCTCTCTCTCTCTCTCTCTCTCTCTCTCTCTCTCTCTCGCTGTGTGTGTCTGTGGTGGGCACCCGTGGGGTCACCAAGTTCAAACCGAATAGGGAGGGGGAGGAGGAGGAGGAGGAGGAGGGGAAGGAGAGGAAGATGAAGACGAAAACTGACCTGGTAAGACGTCCGGGCGATGGCGAGGCGGAAGACGATGGAGTTCTCTGCAAGGGAGGCGGACGGCAACGCCGGAAGTTTGCTCGGGAGACGGAAATTCGAATTGTCCTGGCCAACCCGTCTCTGTGGCTGGATGGTACATCCCATTAACTGTTGATAACCCAGACCTGGGTTCGAATCCTTCCGGAATCTAAGAACTGAAGTGAACTCTTAATCACCTGGGGCCACCTGCAGACCATCGCCCTTTCAAAGCGAAGAAGAGATAGACTGTGGCCGGCCGAATGATGGCACGCAAGACGCGAGACCAAAGACTGTACGAGGAAGTGGAGAAGGAAAGGTATGAGGAGAATGGAGGAAGCGTGGCATGGAGGAATCTTACCTGGGCGGCAACAAAAAAAGTAAGCGCAGAGCATTACACGACGAGCAGAACGTCAACACTCCAGCGACGTCAACACGCGCCAACTCGAATTGGACAGGCGCGAAGTTGGCCGTGGGATGGGGAAGGCAGATGTTTGTCTGCCCCACAGAGGGGCAGATGCAGAAAGAGTAAGCAGGCCCCTCCAGTCCACGGACAGGCCCATATCACAAAGTTGCCCATGGCCGGGACAGGCGCATATGCAGAAATTTGGAAATTTTGTGATACTCCTGTATTTCAGGGGTATGTCGCAAGATAATCCACCCCTTAGGGGCATTTCGACACTTTTCTCTACAAAGAGGGAAGGGGGAAAAAAAGGAATTGCGGTGTCGAAACTGGAGTTTTCTTTTTCTTTTCTTTTTTTCCTTTCTCAAACTTCTTTTTCTTTTCTTTTTTTCCTTTCTCAAACGGGCCCAGTGCCCAAGGCTATTGATAGTCCTCTGGATACCCCTGATCGGTATTAGCGCGGTCTATGACCAACACGGGTGTGAGTGTCAGCGCGAGTGGGTTGTGTGTGGTGTGTGGGAGAGTGTTGGCCATAGCCTCTGCTGCTACTCGATGAAGGGTGGGGGACGATGAGAAAGGGAGGCACAGCTACTCGCAGGTCTCGGTCTTTGTGTTAGCCAGACCCCCACTGGCGGCCCCAACCCTATACCCTAACCATTAGGGGCAAGGGGCAACATGAAATCTCCCCTAGTCTTAGGAGTAGGTAGTGGAAGGTAAAGAAACAGAAGTTGAGAGAAGAATATAGAAAGAATTAAAAAAAAAAATAATAATAATAATAATTGAAATTCAACAGTTCAGGAGACCGGGGTCCTCACAGTCTACCCAGAAACAAAAAGAAAAACCAATTCTGGGAGCCTTACCCAGCTTCCCTTTTTACAGGACCCAATGGGACCCGATGCTGCTATCCAGACAAACCACTAAGAAGTACAGAAGACCAACACCTAAATTCCTACATTAAGTTTCACTTCGGACGAATAACTACGCTGTTACTCAAAACTGACAGACCAACCCGTACCATCCTGCTGCTATCCTCGGAGGTATGTCTTCCTGCTACTTACGGTCCAGACTCGATCTAGGAGGGGGCCGTGTCTTGATCCTTGAAATGAAGTGTATTCCTACCCTGTCTT